ACTGTAGCTCTTGTTTTCTTGGCTTCATTCTCTTTGCATCACGTCCTAGAAGTCTTTCCAGCTTTCTCTGAATTCTCCATATTTGTCTTTCCTTATGATAAACTGACATTCCCTTATATTCCCATGTAACACTCAGAAGTTTGGGGCACGCCTAGCGGTTTACAGTTTATTTCTGAACATAAGAAATGCTGTGTATGGTATGAACATGTTTTGTCTAGTCGAGTCTTCTAAGTCACAGCCTTGGAGAGTAGAACCATTAGACTGTTAGCTTCTGTCGGGCAAAATTGTCTTTTGCCTTTCTATTCCTGGTGGTTAGCACAGTGCCTGGCATACAGTGAGTGCTTAGGAAATGTTCATTGACTGAATATATATATGTCCAGTCTCAGTAGTGGGGGGAAGGGCCAATAGTTTGTTTTTTTTTTTAACACAGTTTTACAATTCTGTTCCAGAAAGAACTAACCAAGTCACACTTTTGCCAGTGGGGAAGGAGCTGCGTGTCATCTGCTTTAGCCCTTTAGCATACCTTTTTGTGAAGGAGGGTCAGGAATGTTGGGATTGTCTTGTCTGAGTCTGACCTGTGGTATCTTCAGTCCAGAGTTCCAAAAAAAATGTGAATTTGGAGGTACCTGGATAATTGACTCTGAGCATTTTAATCTGTGTGTGAATGAAAGCACTTATTAAGCATTTGCTGTATGCCAGAAAACATTTGGCATTTAATCCCATGCCAGGCTTCTCGACCTTCAGACCCAGCCCTCCCTTCCATACGAAGGTGGCGCTCTGTGGATAGCGGCCCTCGCCTCCTTGCTGTCCTTCCCACAGGTCATTCTGTGCCCTGGCCAGACCCTTGCTGTCATTGCCCCCTCCCTCCTCACCCCTTCTGCTCAGAATCCTTGATTTCTTTCAAGACTCAGCTGGAGCACCTCCTTTTACATGCTCACCCCAGTAGCTGATGCCCAGCCCTCTCTTCCCCAATTAGACGTTATGTATTCTCTATCTGTATAAATATCTATAGGCTCATATGCACACACATTTGTTGTGTACCCTCTTACAATGTAGTTCCTTGAGGGAAGGAGTGGCTCTATTTTTCCCCCTTCATATTCTCAGCTCCTAAGACAAGTGCTCGGCACATAGTAGGCATTTCCAAAATGTTTGTTGATTGGCTGTCTAATTGACTTAAATTTCTGATGAGAACTGAACTCCTCCCCCGAGGGTGAAATGGTGCAAGTTGCAAAGCAGAAGATTTTGCCTTGACATCGGAAAAGGCTTCCTGACTATTTGAGGTAGCCCAGGGGAGGAACTGAGGGCCTCAGGGGGCATCACTAGATGATGATGATCATGGTGCTGGTGCTGTTAGCTGGAATTGATTTATTACCTGCCATGTGCCAGGCACTGTGCCTAAGTACAAGGCAAATGTTATCTCAAATAAGCCTCATGACAACATGGGAAGTAGATGCAATTATCCCCATTTTACAGATGAGGAAACTGAGACAAATAGCGGTTAAATTCCTTGTCCAGAGTCACACAACTTGTGAGTGTCTAAGGCTGGATTTGAATTCGGGTCTTCTGACTCCAGCCCAGTGCTCTGTGCCATCTTTCTGCATAATGCAAAGGCTGCGTGATCTTTGCCAGGCATGAGATAAAGGGGCTTCTTGGTCAGGTCCAGGCCGGATTTGGGTGCCATGACATCCCTCCAAAGTCTTTCAGCTCTGGCATTCAGGAATGCTGGGCTCTTCTTACTCCACCGAAAACTTGGAATGATCTCTCTCAATTGCTCCCCCACCCCATGCCTAAACTCCCAGACTGCCCGACTCCCTCTTTTCTTTGACTTACCAGAAGAAATTAAAACTCTTCCAAAACCAATGGATGGACCTCCTCTGCCTCACCTTACCCCCTCCCTTTGCTAAGTCCTTTCTCCCTTCTTAGGAGACCATCCCTGCTCCTCCAGCTTTTTAAGAGCCGACACAGGCCTCATCCTTGATGAGAACAGACTGAGTGCTTTATATTAGAGTGACCATTGCCTGCTTCCCTTCCCAAGGACCTGTTTCCAGTTGTCTCGTCAAGTTCTCGTTCCTGTCTGGGCCCCATCATTTGGTTTATTGTTTTTCCCTGTTGGCACTCCTGCTAATGAAACCTGTCCAGTTACATTTCTGGATGGTTCTTCTTTCTCTCATTTCTTGATCCTTTGCAAGCACAGGATAATGGATAAGAGGAAGAGAGCTTTGGGTCATGTTTGGCCTCTGTCCTAGTAACGGCACATAAGTAAACGTGTCAGTATGCAAAGCCCAGTTTCCTTTGGTCTTTATAACACCCTGGTGAAGGAGAGGCTATTTCCTCCATTTTACTAATGACATAGCCAAAGCCCAGAGAAGTAGGGTAGCCTGCTTGAGGTCACATAGCTAATCAGCGTCCAGGGCAGAAATCAAACTCAGAGCTTCCTAGCTCTGATTCCAGTACTCTCTTCACTACACCATCCAGCCCTTCTGGACCTCAGTTTCCTCAGCAGTAAGTTGAGAGAGCTGACCTTGACCAGTTATAAGGTCTCTCTCCCAGCTCTTATTAAGTCTGTCATCTCTTTTGAGGATCAATTTCCTTAACTTTTTAAAATGAAAATAATAATACCTGTTATACTGACCTCACAGGATTGCTACGTATAGTAAATGAGATTGTGTTTCTGGGATTGGGGTATCAAAAAGAGGTTTGAGGATGGCACAACGGAAGGAGAAAAGGTATTTTGAATTGGGTCCCCTTTTTTTCCTCCAGTAGCTACTACCTTAGGCAAGGTAGCTTACTTCTCTGGGTCTCAGTTTCCTCATCTGCAAAATTAGGTCCAGGTCCAGGGGTTTGGACTTGGCAGCCTCTGAGATCCCCCCTGGCTCTCGGTCCATGATCCTGTGAATCTCCAACCTGAAGGCTCTCTCTTTGTCTCTGTCTCTTTGTCTGATTCTCTTTCTCTGTGTGCTCTGTAAGAACCAAGTTACCTTGTTCTTTCTTGCCTGCCATCTGGGTCCTAGCATCAGTTCCTCTGGTGGGCTCTTGGACCACACAGCTGGGGAGTTCTTGTTTCTCACCTGTACTCCCTCCTTCTGAGCTTCTCATGAGGCTCAAATGAAATGATGGTGGTAAAACGCTTTGCTAACTTTAAGTTGTGTAGAAATGTCCACTTTAGCCTTCTTGAGGAATGGGGCACAGAATTAGGATTGTGGCATCCTAACTTTGCTTTGGTCTTTTGTCTGCTTCACTCTTTACCTTCCATCTTAGAAACCAGAGTTTCTGGCTAGAGTTGAGGGTGTTCTACAAGGAAGTGGCCCACTTGAGACCACGGTGTAAATGGGCTTGAATGCCAGACTAAGTAATCCAGTAGGAAATGAGGGGGCAATGAAACGGGAATACATCTCAAGTTTTCCAATGAAAGGATTAGGGATAGTGAAACCCAGAATCCCCAGACAAATCTGGGTGGCTTGTTCAGTTTGAAGCAGGATACAAGGTGTAGCAGAGCTTCTAAGGCAGAAGGTAAGAGTCTGCTTTCCCTTTTTCCCCCCCTACCTTTCAAATTCTGTTTTACTTTATTTTCAGTTTTGAGTTCTTTTCCTTCTCCCCTCCCCCTCCCCACCCATTGAGAAAGCAAGAAAAAGAAAACTTGTTACAAATACGTTTAGTCAGGCAGAACAAATTCTCCCATTAGCCATGCCCCTCTGAGTGTTTCAATCTGCACCTAAAACAATGCACCTTTTACCCTGCCTCATTAAATGAGTCCTGTCCCCCCCCCCCCAATTTGCCCTGCATCTTCAGAAAACATGGGATTCTGGGTCTGGTCATCCCTAATCCTTTCACTGGAAAACCTGAGAAGTATTTCCCGTTCCCTATCGGATTGCTTAGTCTGGCATTCAAAGCCGTTTAGTTTACACTGTGGTCTTTCCCTGTGGAACACCCTGAACTCTGGCCGGATCACTGAGGCGATGGAGAGCCCTGACAGCGGATGATTTCATGCGTCGGTGGCTTGTCTTCTGTCTCCCTAGGTCCTTGTCACCCAGCCCTCTGGCCTTGTGCTTCTCAAAACTTTTGTTGACTGGCATTGATCTCTTTGCTAGGAGATGCCACGTGTGGAATGTGATGCGTGCGAGAGTGCAGAGACCTGGGCGTGCTTGGGAGCCACTCAGTAGGGCCAGTCTTTTTGTTGATTTCTTTGGGAGGTCAGGATCTGGTGTGCTCTGAGCTTCGTGGCTAGGTGTGCGACACAAGTTTTGTTTGTTTGGGGAAGGCCATTAAGTAAAACGTATGTGAACCAAAATGATCCATTCTCTTTTATCTGAAGTAAGATAAAGTCCACAATTTGGGGGGAAGCGCCCTGAGAGCCACTGCTTTGCCCTTCCTTCCCACCTTCAGAAAGCAGCCCTCACCAAACCTTTTCTGGCAAGGGATATTGAGTTTTCTTCATTTGCTATGGATTTTTTGTCTCTTATTTGACCTGAGGAGAGCCTTGAGACTTCCTTAATCTAGGGAACTCCCAGGAGAAGAAACTCCCTTCTGCAATGCAGGTAGGCAGCTTCTCTGCAGCTTGTCATCTTAGAGTTACCCACAGCACTGGGAAGTTGAAGGACTTACCCAGGGTCATACAGCACCTGCCTCCTACGCTGTGCTGCCTCACTGCAGCCCTTACGACTGCTCTCCTTTCTTTTGGGTCTCTATGGAGTGTCTCCTCAGTGTCTGAATTCCCTGGGGACAGTTATAGGATCATTGGATGTCAGAGCTGGAAGTGACCTCAGTGCTCATCTGCCCCAGTGGCCTGACTTTGCATAGGAGGAAGGGAGGACCAGAGACGTCTGGATTGTTGTGTGAAGTCAATCAATGGCAGAGTCAGGATTTGAATCCAGAACCTCGGACTCCACAGTTTGTGTTATGCTATCCCTCTCCCCCTCCCATGTGTTGTACATACCAGGCACTAAGTAACCATTTGACAACTGATGAAATAATTTTATTTTTTTCTTTCCCTCTCAACCCAGAGCAAATAGTGGAGAAAGATGAAGGTCCATATTACACCCACCTGGGGGCTGGGCCCTCTGTAGCAGCCATCCGAGAGCTGATGGAGGACCGGTAAGTGGGACTTGGCCTGGAGAGGCCTGGGAGCAGCGTGGAATCCAGGTTCAGGAAAGTTAGAGATCGTCCCCCTCACTGTCTCGTATGGATATTGCAGAGGGAACACGGGCCTGCTATCAATTGGCCCTCTGATCACAGGTCTCTGAGGTTGCTTTCTGCCCCCTCCCTCCACCCAGCCCTCAGTTGGACCTCACTTAAACCAGGGAGCCATATATGATTCCATTGCTGGTTAGGAAAGGAGAGAGCTCAGAGCAGGAGGGGTCAGTTCCCCGGCAGTAAGTGGGAGCTCGTGAGGAGGAAGAACTTCCCACAGCAGAAACTGTCTACAGATAGAACCATGGGACGGGTCGAGTGGTGATAGTAACTCACCTCTTAGTACCATTGTATGGTTGGCAAATGAGAAGAACCTCCCCCCACCCCAACAGAATTCTCTCTCCTTCCCGACCAAGTGACCCTTTCTTAGGATGAAGTAAAACTAGTTCACCCGTGGGCTGCTTTGGAAAGGGTGGAAGACCCTTCACACACACAGCCTTCTGCTGCTCAGTGCATTTCTTCCTGGCCAGGACTGCTTACTTCATTCTGTTGGCTTCTCTTGGCACTCTTGTCCTCTGTGCCACCTGAGTCACTGGGTTGACTCTTTCACTGGTTCTCCCTCCTTCCACCTTGCCACCGCTCATGTTCTTCTTTCTCTGCTCCTCTGAACTCTGCGTTTTCATTGTCTCCCGTGATACAGTGACATTCCCTTACTGATGTGCCGCATTTTGTCTAGCCACTCTGCAGTAGAAGGCATGACCCATGCCAGGATTCTTTGCTATCACCAGAAACAAAAAAGTGCTGCTGGGAATATTTTGGTGACATGGGACCTTTGATCTTGAGATTGCATGATATTACACGTTTAGTGAGACAACTCAGTACATGACCATGGGCGTTTTTAGTTAGCTCAGTGGCACGGTGGATAGAGTGCTGGGCCTGGGTTCAAATCCACTCCCAGATACTTACTCATTGTATGACCCTGGGCAAGTCACTTAACCTGTTTTGCCTCAGTTTCTTTAACTACAAAATGAAGATAATGATAGTTCATACTTCCCAGGGTTGTTGTGAGGATGAAATCAGATAATATTTGTAAAGTGCTTAATGCAGTGCCTGGCACGTAGGAGGCACTGCATAAATAAGCTGTTTCCATTACTGGGGGGAGGCCTTTGGGCAAATGCTCTGTGGTCACATGTCAGGTGTGATATAGAAGTGACTGTTGGTCAGGTGTCCCAGGAGGACGGTAGAGCATCTGTGGTCCCCTCCCCCTCAGATTCTCTGAAGGCACCATGACCTTTTCGTTGTCTTTAAATTGGAATTCTGATTTTTAAAGTATTCAGTACAAGCCATAGGCTTGGGAAGTTATTAACTGTATCTCTGATGGATACTAAGTAATTGCCTCCTTCCATTATACTGCTTAAAAATACAAAGAAAGAAAGAGTTCTAGCTTGTAGTGGATTCATTCAAGATTAGAGCAAGTGGGCCCTGGTGCCCAGGGACATGTTGACCAATGCCTTTTTCAGTGGTAGGATGTATCTAGAGAGGAATGGTATGCAGTCAGAGGGAGCTAACTGCTCTGCAGTTTGCCTGGATCAGAACACATCTAGATCATGGTGGGTAACTCATCTGAGGAAGGCCATTGGTAATTGTAGAGCGTGCAGGGGAGGACAGCTAGTATTTTGAAGGTCCTTGGGACTGATGGGAGTTAAGTTAGCAGCTTCAGCCTGGAGCAGAGGATCTGGGCTGTCGGGGCAGAGCAGTGTGCTGTGCTAACTGCTTCACATATTTGGAAGATTTTCACATGGGAAAGGAATCGATCCTGTTCTTCTTGGCCCCAGGAAACAGAACCCTGAGCACTGGGTAAAGGCTACAGAGAAACAGACAGATTGGAGGGAAAGCCCTTCTTTGTACTTGGAGCAATTCCACACTTGCGAAGTGCAGTCGGTTCCCCCTTACTAGACATCTTTGAGTAGAGGCTGGCTGCTCACTTGTCAGGGGTGTCGGAGAGGATGGGTGGCCTATTTCAGTGTAGGCTGGACCAAAGGACCTTCGAAAGGCCCATCCTACTCTTAGCATTCTGGGATTCAATTCTGTAGGGCTCTTAGCACCAAGGTTGTTGGGTCAAGATCATTGATCTGGTGCTGGAGGGACCTTACAGACCGTCTCACAGAAGCCTTTCACTTTACAAATTAAGAAATTGAGGCCCAGAGAATGATGTGACTTGTCCAAGATAACCCACATAGTGAGTGGCAGAGACAGGATTTGGAGTCATGCCCTCTGACTCCAAGTTGGATGCTCTTCCCACTGGACAATGTTGGCTCCTGTATTCTCCTGGTTCTGCTCATTTCACATTGTATCTAGTCTAGCTTCCTGATGGCACAGATAAGGAAACTGAGCCCCAGACCACAGAGCTAGCTGGTACTCTCCTTGGAGCTGGTCCACAGTAATGTAATAAGTGATTCATAAGGGTGTTGTGGAAAGGGCAGAGCTGAATGGAGGTTGGGGCCTCCCCCACTGGTGGCATGGTTGGTGGGAAGCTCATTGTACAAGTCTAGCTTACAATGCTTTCTTTGCATTTGGAAGGATTTCTATCCCGGTGGTCCCATGCCCCTCCATCAAAGGTGATTGAAAGGTCTTTCCTCCCCTACTTGCAACCTCTTCAAAGTTTCTGATGTACATGAAAGCACTTATTGGTCGTATCTACTTCTGTGCTCATCACTTCACCCCTTGCAGCCTCAGTTTCCTTTCCTGTAAAGTTGGAGTAAAAATAATACCTAGCTCCCAGAGTTCTTGTGAGCATGAATTGCCATGAGGTATATTCAGAGCTCTTTGCAGTCTTTAGACCTGCTCTTGAGGTGGAAGTTGCTGTTGTCCATGCCCTTTTGGGCCAGGCTTAGGACTGTCACCCTCAGGGCTGAAGGGGGGTTCTTCTTGCTTTGGGTGTCTAGGGAGGAGAGTGAGGATTTTGCCAGACTTGAGGTCTCATGTATGGGGCTCACTCCCTCTGAATCAGCGCATGACCAAACCCTGATGATACTAGAAGGACTGGTAATGGAGAAGGGCAGGCTAGCAGGCAGGCTCGGCCCTTTGAATTCAGACAGCAAGAACATGGTTTTGTTTTCAGCTGTGTGGACTTTAGAAAAAGAAGCTTTGCTCTGGTTGGCTGGCTTCTGGCTGGCTGTTTCTCCTTTCCTGCTCCAGAAGGTTTGTCTTTTTACCTTTTCTTCCAACACACACACACACACACACACACACACACACACACACACACACACAGTCTCTTCCTTCTCCCTTGTCTTTCCTTCTTCCTATCTTCCTATTCCCTTTATCCAATTAACTTTGCTTTTTCCTGCTGGCCCTCTTGTTTTCGTGGTATCCCTACTGCTAACCCATTTCCCTGACAGAAATAGAAAGGGAGAAAAAAGATAGGGGGAAAGGGAGGGACAGGGAGAGAAAGAGAGAGGGAGAGAAGCAGCAGCAGCAGCAGCCTAGGCAAGCCAAACTCATCTGTCCAGTGGCCCTGCCCCACAGTGCATGTCTCGCATCCCTTTGGGCCCTTCTATCCATCACTCATGACAGGAGGTGGGCAGGCCGCTTCAACGTCAGTGCTCTGGAGACTCAGTCCAAGCGCTGCTCAGAGGTTGTAAGTCTTTCAGAATTGCTTTTCTTTTCCCATTCTTGCTGTGTATAAATCATCCTCTTGTTTCGCTCCCATTATTCTCCATTGGTTCCTGCAATTCAGGATTCTCTGAATTCATTTATTTGTCATGTTTTATGGTGAAATAATACTCTGTCATGGTCATATAGAACTTGTTGAACCATTGCCCAGTGGTCTAAGACACAATCGAAGATAAAACCATAGACTCCAGGTCTTGGTTTCTCTTTTTGCCCTGTTTTCTATCCTTCTTTGGGATCAGGAAGTTTGTTTTGCTTGTGATTATTTTTTTCTCTGGTATTATCCTCCCTCAACCTACCCCCCCGTGCCCACATGTTTTCCTCAGGGGGTTGATTTCTACAATAAACAGGAGAGAGGGAGTGGAGGGATAGTAAAGGAGGGAGGGAGTGCTGTGATTAGGTGTCATGGCTAGGTGGCACAGTGGATAATGCACTGTACTTGAATTAGTACGGCTCTTCTTCATGAGTTCAAATCTGGCTTTAGATACATACAAGCTGTGTGACCCTGCACAAGTCACTTGACCGTGTTTGCCTCAGTTCCTCATCCTTGAAATGAGCTGAAGAAAGAAATGTCAAACCAGTCCAGTATCTTTGCCAAGTAAGCCCCAAAATGGGGTCTTGAAGGATTGCACACTACTGAGCAGCAAGTGTTTTTGAAGCCCCCTTGTGGATGAGTAATTCTACTTCTGTTTGGCACCAATGGGTAGAGTCAGGGACCATTTTCCCTTATTCCCAGCGCAGTGCCTGGCACATAGCCAGAGTTCAATAGCCTGGTAGTTCTAAGTAGTGGTGACTGGACTGGTTAATAGTTCTAAAGAGGCAAATTTGGGCTTGACCTCAGAAAAGAACTCACCAACAACTGGAGCCATCCCAGAACTGACCGAGTGCCTCGTAACAGTAAAGGTAATGGCTCCTCCCGTGTAATGAGGGAGGGTCTGGATGGCCATTGTGCAGGGAGTCATGGAGATTCCTTTGGGCTTCAGGTTGGTCAAGATGGCTAATGAGACTCCTTCCAACTCTTGAGACTCTGCTCATGTATGCGTGTGCCTGGGCAACCACTGAGGTTGCTTCCACCTGTAAGTCTGTGATCCAGTACAATTCAAGTCTAAGCAATGTTCTTCCCATTTTACAGGTGCCGAAGCTGAGGCACAGAGGTTGACTTGTCACAGATCACATAGCCTGGAACAGAGCAGGGTGAACCCAGATATTCCAAATTCAATGCCAGCCCAACTCTCGAGGACAGATAGTTTAGGATGCTTCATCTGCAAATGACAGGGTAACTGAGGCTCAGA